CTTCTTTCCTTCTTTCCTCCTTCCCTCCCTTTTTCCTTCTTTCCTCCTCCCTCCTCTTTCCTCCCTCCCTCCCTTTTTCCTTCTTTCCTCCCTCCTTTCCTCCCTTTTTCCGTCCCGCACCCCCTCCCTCCCTTCCCTCCTCCCTCCCTCCTTTCCTCTCTTTTTTCCTCCTCCTCCTTCATCTTCCTCCCTCCCTCCCTCCGTTATTTGTTCCTTTTCTTCCTTTCCTTCTCTTTCCATCTCCCTCCCTCCCTCCTCTTTCCTTCTTTCCCTCCTCCCTCCCTCCTCTTTCCTTCCTTTCTTCTTCCCTCCCTCCCTCCCTCCCTCTCCTCCTTTCTCCCCCTCCCTCCTTCCCACCTTCGCTCCCCCTCGCCGCCTCTCTCCTCCTCCTCCTCCTCCTGCCCGGCTCCTGCCTTTTCTCCGCCTCCCTTTGTTTCCGTCTCCCGCGGCCGGCCAGGCGAGGATGCTGCCGGCCTGAAGCAGAGCAGCGCCGGGGCCATGACTGCTGCTTCGGCGGCGGCGGCGGCGGCAGGTAAGGCGGGCCAGGTGCGGAGGCTCCGGCGTCCCTCGGCGGTCTGCGAGGCGAAGGTGCCTCTGAGCACGTACAGAGGGCGGGCGGAACGGAGGGGGGAGGGGGGCTTTGGAGCAGGGGGGGGAGGGAGTCTTCCTGGAACCCCTCCCACCCCCGGGGGCTTCGTTGCACCCACTTGCCGGCGTTGGGGAAAGGGTTCCTGAGCATGGGCAGAGGGCGGCCGCGGGGGGGAAAAAAAAAAGCTGCGGGAGGGAGGCAAAAACCTTAAAACCGGTAAGAAAAGGAGGAGAAACCATAGGAAGGAGCGAAGAGCAGCGCTTCTCACCCTGGGTAAACCTTTCAAGATGGCTGGACTTCAACTCCCAGAATTCCCCAGCCAGCATCGGTGGGGGGGGGGGGGGGGGATCTTCTGTCATTCTCTAGTCTAGCTCTTAATTTTTGTTCAACTCATATCAATAATGAAGATTTAAAGGCGCCCTCCACAAAGGTGATCTCTCTCTCTATATATATATATATTCTCTCTCTCCCTTTCTCTTTTTTAATTATTTCTCTCTCTCCCTCTCTATCATCCATCTTTGTCTGTCTGTCTGTCTATCATCTATTTATATCTATTAATATCTATATATCTTTAAGAAGATCTTAGATAACCATTTGTCTGAATTGGTGTAGGGTTTCTTGCCTGAGCAGGGGGTTGGACTAGAAGACCTCCAAGGTCCCTTCCTTCTATTCTATTC